AGGGCAGCAGACCTGCTCGCCGGTGCCCGCAGGCCCTCTCCCCACATCTTGCACCCAAGTAGCCGATCTGCTGATCTGCTTCCAGGAAGACACTGGAGGGCCCCAGATGCCGGGGAGCAAAGGAGGAGGGTAGTGAAGGGACTCAGGACACACTGCCCCCGACCCTGGGCAGCAGGGAGAGATGTCAGGGCCTCCTCTTGTCCAAGCATGGACTGGTGTGAGGCAGTGTGGGCACATGCAGCTATGTGCACGAGTATGTGTGAGTGTGTATGTCAGAGTGTGCATGTGGGTGTGCAGGCCGTGGCCAGGCGCAAGCATGGGATCCCAGGCCGCTGAGCGGGTCCCTTGCCGTCTGCATGGCCTTCCCTCGCCATCATGTGCAGGTGATTTCAGCATGTCACCGTGCCTGTGTCCCCTGCCTGCTCAGTGTTGAAAACCGTCTGCTGGGCTCGGGAGATTCTGTCTACACTCCCTTTCCGACAGGCCCCAGGCCGCTGTGCACAGGCCTTTAATATCACAAGGAGCCCTCAGGGCGGCTCCCCGGAAGGCAGCAGCATGGAGACCCTGCCCCCCAGGCTCGCCAGGGGGTTTGCTTGGCTCCTCAGTTCCAGAGCTGGTGGCTCAGGACACGCTCCAGAATCCGGCAGCAGGCAAAGGGTGGGCGAGTTCCGGCCAGCTTCCACCCACTGGGCTCCTGACAGTGGTGGCCGGACACTGGGGACGAGGCCTGTGATAGGTTCGCGCTAGCACAAGGCCACCTCTGTGCCCGCCGCACCTCTGCGTGCGCTGCTGCAGGACTGATGCCTGAGTGACCCAACGGCTTGGACTTGTACGTGCTCTTCATTTGGGTCACAGTGGTCCTCCCAAGTGTTGACCCCTTAGGACAAAACCACACCACGCAGATGCTTGCTTTTGAAAAGGCCTGCACACCCTCGAAGCCCATGCCGTGTTTCAGGAGAGCCTAGGGGTGGTTAAACATCTGGGGGAAGCAATTTCACCACCGAATAGTAACATCTGTTGCTTAAGCATGAACGTATACCGGCTGGAAATGTAATTAGATTTATGATTCTGTTTTAAGTAGATTAATTTTGTAATATTTGCTTTCCACCTCCTGCGTTTATATTTAGATTTAAACATGGGAATTGCGTTATAAAATACTCCTACCACTCAGTCTAATCTGTCCTGTGGCCTGGCCTGAAACCATCTCTTCTCTTGGCTCTGCAGTGCCTGCACCCCTTGGTAAAAGTACATGCTTCCTCCTCTGTGAGTTGGCCGGCCACACGTAGGTCTCTGCGTGTGACCTCAGAGGGGATTACCTCGAAGGCAAGGATCTATCGCGGAGAGTTGATTTGAGATGTCTACTAAAGGAAAGCATACGAAACTGAAGTCGTCTGTTGGTGACTCAACAGAAGGAAGGACCAAGGTACTGCCCAGTGCCCTAGTCCGCGAGGGCCGGTGTGACCCTGGGGCGGATGTGGACAGACGTGTAGATAACAGAAGGTGCCGCCCTGCAGACTGGGGGGCTGGCAGGCTGGGCTCCAGGTGGTGGTAGGGTTGGTTGCTTCTTTCCTCCTCTCCTCTCCTCTCCTCTCCTCTCCTCTCCTCTCCTCTCC